AAAAACGAGCATAATTAATAAAAGTAATTAGTTCAAACTTAGAATAATTACTTTTATTAATTACTGAATGGGATATTACACTTAGGACCTCTGGCTCCATACATGGCGGGCCAATATCTTCATTGACGGACTCCGATCGGGAGGCTATTTCTGGGTTGACTGATGTCCAATGGGAGTCTATTGTACACCTCGTCACTTCTGCCCGCAACAATGCTCTTCTTTCCGGTAAGCGTAATCCTTATGAGTGGTTGTATGATAGCGGTGCTTCACATCATATGACGGGCTACTTGGATTTTTTTTTCTGATATTCGGGATATTCCATCCCGGTCTGTGCAGTTACCTAATGGCACGCTTACCACTGCGTGTAAAGCTGGAACTGTTCATCTTGGTTCTCGTATTATTCTATATGATGTTTTGTTCGTTGACAGTCTGCAGTGCAGCTTGATATCTTTATCTCGGTTGTTGGAACAATCTGGTTGTGTTGCTACCTTCACTAGTAAATATTGTGTTATTCAGGACCTCACTTCAAGGACGGTGATTGGAGCGGGTGACCAGATGGGGGGGGGGCTCTATTTTTTTCGAGAGGTGATCGTTGCCAATGCTTCTCGGGTGTCTTCGGTTATGCAACACTTGTGGCACCAACAGATGGGTCATCCCTCTTCTACTGTTCTTGGTCAATTGCCTTTTGTTGAATCTCATTCCTTGGTCTCGAGTAAAACTTGTGATGTTTATTGTCGGGCTAAGAAATCTCGTGCTAGCTTTCCTCTTAGTCGAAGTGTTAGCAGTTCCATTTTCAGTCTGATTCATTGTGATGTGTGGGACCGTATAGAGTTCCTGCCTCTTGTGGTGCTCGATATTTTCTGACTGTTGTTGACGAATTTTCTCACGGTACTTGGATTTTCTTATTGGATAACAAATCTTCGGTGTCTTCCACTTTACTGCAATTTTGCTTTTGTAAAAAGTCAATTTGGTGTATTGGTTAAAACTGTTCGCAGTTACAATGGAACTGAATTTACCCGTTTGCGTGATTATTTTCGTCAACAGGGGATTGTTCATGAAACTTCTTGTGTCGGAACTCCTCAAAAAAATGGTCGTGCTGAGGGCAAACATCAGCATATTTTTAATGTTGCTCGAGCATTACGCTTTCAAGCCCATTTATCGATTGAGTTCTGGGGACATTGTGTACTTGCAGCTGGCTAATTGATTAATCGAACGCCTACTCCTCTTTTATCCGGCAAGACTCCCTATGAACTTTTGTATGGAGAACCACACAACTATGCGCACTTACGTGTTTTTGGTTGTCTATGTTACGTGCACAATCAGAACAAGGAAGGTGACAAGTTTGCAAGTCGGAGTCGTCGATGTGTTTTTGTTGGTTATCCATCTAGTCAAAAGGGGTGGTGTGTTTATGATTTGGACAACCGCATTTTTTTGTCTCACGTGATGTGAAATTCTGTGAATTAGAGTTCCCTTATTTGACGTCTCCTGCTCCTGACATTGCCTCCGTACCTCTGGTTCCATGGCCTGCTGTTTCTGACGATGATGATACTGTAGTGGTTCCCACCACGACGCGAACCACTGACACTGGGGATTCTGAAGTCATTATTGATAGGGGGTAATCCTCCCCAAGAAGAATTGCTGGGTCGTGGTCATCGTCTCAAGAGGCCCTCTTCCCGTCTTGCCGACTTTGTCTCTCAAACTGTTTGTTCCTCTTCTCCCCACTCTACCTCCTCAATCACGTCATTGTCTGGTACTCCTAACCCTCTCACACACTATGTTTCTTGTGATTCCTTTTCACCTGCACATAAGTCATTTCTGGCGGCCATTTCGACTGTTGTTGAGCCTCGAACTTTTTTTGAGGCTGTTCGAGATAGTCGATGGCGTTCGGCTATGCAACTGGAGATTCGAGCATTGGAATCGAACCATACTTAGGATATTGTTTCTCTTCCTAATGGGAAACACGCGATTGGTTGCAAGTGGATTTACAAGATTAAATATAACTCTGATGGTTCTGTTGAGCGCTACAAGGCACGTTTGGTCGTCTTGGCTAACCGGCAGGTGGAGGGCATTGACTATCAGGAGACATTTGCACTTGTTGCCAAGATGGTTACTGTACGGACTTTTCTTGTTGTTGCAGCTGCTCGACATTGGGAGGTTCATCAGATGGACGTGCACAATGCGTTCTTGCATGGGGATTTGTCTGAGGAGGTCTACATGAAACTTCCTCCTGGTTTCACTCGCCTGATAAGGTAAGGTGTGTCGATTACGCCGATCTCTGTATGGTTTGAAGAAAGCTCCTCGGTGTTGGTTTGTGAAGCTTGCTTCTGCTCTACGATAGTATGGTTTTCAGCAGTCCTATTCTGATTACTCACTGTTTGTTTTTCATCGTGACTTATTGAGTTTACATGTTCTGGTTTACGTTGATGATCTGATCATTTCAGGAAGCGATCCAGTCGCCATTACTGCCTTTAATAATTATTTGAGTCGTTGTTTTCATATAAAGGATTTGGGTTTGTTGAAATATTTTCTTGGTATTGAGGGTGCTAGGAATTCTTCGGGCATTTTCTTGTGCCAACGGGAATACACTCTTGACATTATGACCGAGACTGGTCTACTTGGCGGAAAACCGGCAGACTTTCCCATGGAACAAAATCACCAGCTTCCATTGGCAGACGGTCCTCTCTTTTCTGACCCCGAGCGTTATCGTCGTCTCATTGGGCGATTGATCTATTTGACAATCACTCGTCCTGACTTGTCCTATGCGGTTCATACTTTGTCTAAGTTCATGCAACAACCTCGTCAGGCCCACTGGGATGCTGCTCTTCGGGTAGTTCGTTATTTGAAGGGTACTCCGGGTCAGGGTATTCTTCTGCGTTCAGATTGTGACTTGCAGATTTACGGTTGGTGTGACTCTGACTGGGCGACTTGTCCCACAACACGTCGGTCTCTCTCGGGCTGGTTTGTACAGCTTGGTCATTCACCCCTTTCTTGGCGCACCAAGAAACAACACACTGTAGCCCAGTCTTCTACTGAGGCTGAGTATCGAGCTATGGCGACCCTTACTTGTGAGTTGAAGTGGTTGAAGGGTTTGCTTCACAGCCTTGGCGTCGCTCATTCTCAGCCCATGCGGATTCATTGTGACAGCTAAGCAGCTCTCCACATACATTGCTGCTAACTCGGTATTTCATGAGCCCACGAATCATATTGAAGTCGATTGTCATTTTCTTCGTGATGCTCTTGTTCAAGGTCTCATTTCTACCGCTCATGTTTCCATTCATTCTCAATTGGCGGACATTTTCACTAAGGCCTTAGGAAAACACGAGTTTGATTTTTTTCTTGGCAAGTTGGACATTCGGAATTCGCATGCTCTAACTTCAGGGGGGGTGTTAGAATGATTTTGTGAATATATATTTTTTTTTTGTATAGATAGATTTTACTATCTTGGAGTTTTGGTGTAGATTGTTTTAGGGTTTTCTTTGTATCTATATATTCGGCTCTTGAAAATCTCGATGAAACAAGGTTTGAGAGAAACAAATTGGTTTTCACATATTTGTCACAATCAATAAATATTAATAGTTAGATTAAATAGTTTATATTTATATCGTTTATTTTTATTAATGGTAAAATTTATAATATGTGATTCCCATTATCTAACTTGTACCTTCAAATATTAAATACCCAACTATAAAATATAAATTTTTATTTGCTTTTGTGCATGTGCACATGATTATATACTAATTTTTTAGATTGATGAATGAGATAATAATTTCTAAACTATATTCCAATAAATTCACACTTTCCATTCATTGTGTAGTGTGGGATTACATAAAGGAAAAGTATACATCCCAAGTGTACATCTCTATGCATTTATTAAAGACACACCAACACACTCAAACACAAAATCATTAAACTTCCAAATCTTTGGAGGTTTGGACGCTTTCACTTCCACACTCTTCTTACACCCATGATGGGCTAGTGGGCCCATCCCAAGACTCTCCAAACAATAACATAAAAATGTATTTTTCAAGT